TGGAACGCCATGTACGACGGAGTCCTGAGACTCCCGATGCCAGCCAACACCAGCATGGTGGGGTTTGCGGATGACGTCGCCATAGTAGTGGTGGCCAAGCACCTTGCCGCAGCGGAGGAGCTCGCCAACGCGGCCGTCCGAGCCGTGGAGTCGTGGCTTACGGTCGCCGGATTGGACCTGGCAGCGCAGAAGACCGAGGCGGTGCTCATATCGAGCCGGAAAGCTGTAGAGACTGCAAGTGTGCAGGTCGGTGGCACCACGATACGCTCGCAGAGGGCAATCAAGTACCTCGGGGTGCTCATCGACACTCGCCTCTCCTTCAAGGAGCACTTGGAGTACGTGCAGAGGAAGGCCAGCGGAACCGCAGGAGCGCTCTCACGGATGCTCCTCAACACCAGAGGTCCGAAGCAGGCAACGCGGAAGCTCCTGACGAGTGTTGTGACGTCGCAGATCCTGTACGCAGCGCCCGCGTGGGCGAAAGCCGCTCAGGTAAAGACCTACATGCGAGGCGTTGAGGCGACGTACAGGCTGTGTGCCCTACGAATAGCGTGCTCGTTCCGGACTGTGTCGGACGAAGCTGCGCTAGTCATTGCGGGGCAAGTCCCACTCAGGGAGCTAATAAGGGAGAGAGCGGAGATCCATACAGCCGTGCAGGGCGAAAGCGATGCGACAAGAGCAGAGCTGAAGGCTGCAGCGAGGAGGAACAGCATCAGCAGATGGCAGAACCAGTGGGACAGGTCAACTAAGGGGCGCTGGACTTACACCCTCATACCGAAGCTGCAAGCCTGGATGGAGAGGAAGCACGGCCGGGTAGATTTTTACCTCACCCAAGCGCTTAGCGGTCATGGCTGCTTCCGCAGCTACCTCAAGCGCTTTGGCCACGAGACGGAGGACTGGTGCCCAGAGTGCGGCACCGGCATAGTGGAGGATGCACAGCACGTCCTCTTCGAATGCCACCGGTTCGACCACGAGCGACACCGCATGGAGACAGCAGTAGGCGCCAGGATCTCCTCCGAGACCTTGGTGCCGATTATGCTGGCCGAGCCAAGGACATGGGAAGCGGCCGCAGAGTTCGCCTCGAGCGTTATGCGAACGCTGAGAGCATTGGAGAGGAGTCGTAAACAGGAGACGGAGTAGGAGCCTTCGAGCGTGCGAAGCAATGCTTTGCGGCAGTACCGCGCGCGACGGGCGCCCACTCCCACCAGAAAATACGGCCCTCATTATGAGTATACCCACTAGTGTAAGAAGTATTATTATTATTATTATATTTAAAGTATTATTAAAGCTAGATAATTAATTAGAAGGAATAAACAAATGAATACAAAAAAAAAAAAAAATTATATGAATGATGCGCACTGTTAATCCACGTAGCACTCGATTCACAATTATATACTTAGAAATGTTTTTGCTTGATTTTCTAATGCATAAAATATGTGCACTGGGTTGTGCCACACGAGCAAAGCATGAACGATGGAGAGCGAAATCAGATAACAGCGAACTCAGAGTAGAGCGAATTCAGACAAGAGCGAAGAGCAGATCAATCCAGGTGAAATGTTGTGTGGGAGGGAGACCAGACGACGAACGGCTTCGCAGCAAAGACGTAGCAAACATATGAACTTTATCGTATTTTGCATACTGATGCACTTATACTACTGGTTTATTTTAGTTTACTTCAACTTAAGGCGAGCAATGCTGAATAAATAAAGGCAAATTATGTTGCTCAATAAACAGTGCAAAGATCAAAGCTGCTTGCACTGCCAGCCACAATGTATGTATACATATGCATCTATGCATGTATCTATGGCCCCCACTGATCTGCTAAGAATGCCATTTCTAACATCAATGATGCAACATCAAGACATTCTAAAATTATTTATCTTTAAAGTAAAAATACATTTTGTTGATAGCCGCGAATTGTCAGGTGTTGCAAAATCGGCTTTCCCGGTTAACAGAATCAACTTGGTAGCGGAATTAAAATGGAGGATGGAGAACGGCATACAAAAACCAGCACAAGCAGAGCACAGATGCGCTGCACCGAGTCCCGTTCCCCATCGCAGAAAAAATGCAAAATCGAATCGAATGCATCGAAGGGCTCTCAAAAACGAAGGCAGCGAGCGTAAAGCGTGTAAAAAGCCTCCACAAACTCAATCAATCAACGGGATGGAATAAAGCGCGTGTACGCAGTGTTGTCAGTGCGATGCCAAAGTAACAAAATGAACACACACACAAATACACATGCACATTGTGCAAACACACACACACACACACACACACACACAGAGATGGCTGAAGCACAGACAGACTCAGGTTGTTAGTCGCTTGTTTCGCACTGCTTGCCCAAATACCACAAAATCTATTTCGATTCGCAATCAAAATCCCAAATTCCATTTGTGCTATGACGAGTCCTGGAGTCCGTACTGCATCCCGGACTACCAACGGCTGTGCGAAAGGGGGGGGGGGGAATGGAATGCGTGACGGGCTCATCGTGTGGAGTAGGCCTGCAATGGGAAATCGTGGCCAACTTGTGCTTGAGTGCTTTCGTTTGTATTTAGTGGTGGACTTAAAAATACAGACTGGCCTCCGACCAGAATCCCGCTCTAGCTGTTGGGTCTAGCTGCTACCCAGCCCATCGGCTGCACCCACAAAGGCCGTGGCCACAAAACGCATCCGGCGCTGACGTTGAACGATGAGCAGCCGCCGCTGCTCTCTCTCTCTCTCTCTCTCTCTCTCTCTCTCTCTCCATCTCTCTGTCTTGTATTCTGCCCGTGTTCGTGCCCAATCCCTACTCCCGTTTCCACTAGTTGTTGTCCATTCAGCTGCCATGTTTTCCAATTTTCTGCGCATTGCGTTGCATTCAGATTCATTCGAATGCAACTAGAACAACAACAACAACAGCAACAGCAACAGTAGAGGCAGCAGCACCAAAATCGTCGCTCGCTTTTCTCGAAATTTATTCATTGTTCGCGAAATTGCTTATAAACGCGACTCGTATACAGGCCCATAACCACGCGCAATCTGGCCCCGCCATGTCGACGCTTTAGTCAGGATATAGACGGAGATATACGTACGAATAGGTGGGCTGATTGCTCCGCTTTGGCTTTGGCTTTGGCGGTTGGACAACCGCAGAGAGTCGCTTTTTGATCGTCCGCCGCTAAAGTAAAAATACACTCGCGGACGCCCCAGAGTGGCTTCAGAGTCAGATTGCTTGGAAATTGTGGAAATTTTACAAAACGATTGACTGGAAGAACCGCTCAAGTTTACACATTCAAAAATTTGTGTATTTCGTGTATTTTGTAGATTTAAGTTTTATTTTCTTAACTTAAAAAAGTGAGGCCTTTAGTGAGGCCACGGAATTGGCAAAGATTACTTCGTTGAAGACATTTAGAGGCAGAGTCTCCGATGATCGATGTTACGAACCTTTAAGCCAATTCGATGGACAAAATTGGACAGAATTAGGAAGAGAGCGACAAAGAGAGCGAGAAACAGAGTGACAAGCAAGCAACAATGCTGCGCAGCATTAAAATCCGTTGGGGATATGTTCGCCAAGTTATGTGCTCTGAGCTTTGAGCTTTTCAGCTATGTCTCTCTCTTTCTGACCTCTTTCTGATCAAAGCTGCTTGCAAAACGCGGCAGCGGGTACACACATGCAGACATACATGAAAACTTCACGTGCATCGCGATGTATTATTGCTTACAAGCTGATTTAATTATTTCCATTTGTGTTCCCCTATAAAAGAGACTAAAGGATCCTCCAAAGGAGCTTTGTTTTTGACACTTATTTCGCATAAAAACATATTTTACTCCCGATAAACTGTAAATAAATATGTGTGTTGGAAACGATTCATCCCTCGGCAGCAACGGGTAGATTGGCGCTGGGCTTTGGCTCCAGAACGGCTGCCTGGGCAGGCTGTGGCTGCACCAGCACCTTGGTGGGCAGGAGATGCTTGAGGGGCTCTAGGATGCGTGGCTGCTGCAGATAGGTGAGCTGCTGCTGCTCCAGCTGCAGGAGGCTTGTGCCCAGGTGCAGGGTGAGCGACTGGGGCGGGAAGACGCCGTGGATGCAGCGCTGGACATAGGGCACCAGATCGTAGGCCAGGCAGGAGCACAGCTTCACGAAGCTCTCGCGCTCGTTGCCCGTGAAGGCCTGCTGCTCCTGGCGGTAGAAGGCGAGCACCCGCTGGGCCACCAGCTGCAGGGACTGCTGCAAGCAGTGCGTGACGTCTGTGGCCAGGGCCAGTGGGGCGCAGAGCCGCAGCTCGTTCAGCGCATTCAGATAGCCGTTGCAGAGGGCGGCCAGCGGGTAGAAGTCCAGCAGCGTCTCTGGTGGCGCAAAGGACTCGTGCTCGCTGGCGGACAGCGTGGCGGCATCCACCTGCTTGCGGGAGTGCAGCGTCACCTTGTTGATCAGCGTAAATCTCTCCAGCTCCTCCTCGAACTGCTCGTTCACCTGCTCAATGCTGGCCACGAACTTGCGCTGCACCACGCCCACGAAGATGGGCGCCATGAGGGCTCGGAAGTCGGCACCGACGCGGCTGAACGAGAGCCCAAAGTACATGCACTGGCCCAGGACCGTCTCAATGGATCCAACGCCGCGTTGCAGATCCTTTTCGAGTGTCTCCAGGAAGGCATTGATCTGCGAAGAGCGAGGGGATTAGTAACTACGAGTGGCGTCTGGCCATGCGTTTACCCACTTTGTTGTGCAGCCAGGCCTGGAAGAGGCGATCGCCGTTGCAGCTGACACCCTGCAAGGGTCTCAGAGCGCCGCTCGTCACCTTGGCAGCGGCCTCTTCCTCGGGGAATATGGCCCGGTACTGGGTGATGATGTTGAACAGATTGATGCGCGTTATCTCGATGGTCTTGGTCAGATGCTGCTGTGCTGCAGGGACAACGTGTCAATGAGTAAGTGCTGGAGATTTCGTGAGGTTGCTTACCATCCGCCGTGGGAATGGCCTCCAGGCAGGAGGTGAGCCAGGAGTCGCGTGCCTGCAGGAACTTCAGCTTCAGCTCGTTGTCGCCGAATGCCTGCATGCGGCGCAGATATCCAACGATCTGCAGGCACTTCGGCAGCTGCAAGTCCGAACGCAGCTGGGCCACCAGCTGCACCAGCATGGTGTGCCACAAGGCCTCCACGGCGTGCACAATGCTCTGCAAGGGATAAATAAACATCAAAGGCAAGAGGATGCTGGGCAGGGGGGAACCTACATTCACCACAGATATGTGTCCCTGATGCTGGCCGAGGTTCTGCACGTAGGCGGCCAGCTCGAGGGCCTCCTCGTAGCGTCCTTCGCGTATGCAGCGCTCCATCAGCTGCGGCAGCTCGAGAATCTCCAGCAGCTGGGCATTCCGCTGCAGCGTTATGGAATTGAGGCGTCGCTGCTCGTTCAGCTCGGCCGAGTCCTTCAGGAAGTGCTCGCACTTGCCACTGAACTCCGGCAGCTTGCCAATCAGCGTGCCCACCTGCTCCTCCGTCTTGCGGAACTCGTTGAATATCGAGCGCGAGTTCTCCGCCGTCGTGATGAATGTTTTGTAGTTGGAGATGGCCAGGTCCTGGGTCTGCTCCAGTATGCTCTTCGTCTCGTCCGCCAGGCGTGCCTGCTCCTTTTTCAGCTGTTCCACCTTATAGGTGCCCAGCTTTCCGAGGTAATTGTCCAGTTCGGGATTGCCACGCAGATTGTCTGGATTATAAATGGAAATTTGATTTCCTTTGCTTTCGCAGCTGTATGTCGAGTCCTCTTACCTGGCACACCATCCGGGAATATCAGTTTGAGCACACGCTCATTCTCCAAATCCATTTTATCAACAAATTCCATTATTTTTTTGCGTATTTTTCCAAAATGTTTTTTTTTGTAAATTTGTTGATCTTTCCAAACAGCTGGTCGTCCGCGGAATTATCGATAAAATATACCGACAGACCCTCGGAAATATACCCTTGCATATTCAAAATATACTTTATCTTGAATCATATTCCTCGATTTTGATGTTAGATTTGATATTACTCGCTAGTTAAGAGTCTCCGTGCTACAACTATAATTTAATACGTTTTCTCAATAAATTCTCCACATTCTCCATTCTCGGAATTTTCGGAAGAAATGAAAGTGCTGTATAATGCCGTGCATGCACTATGTCAGCAGCTGGCTGCTATTTCACTCAAATGACTAGCATGAGCGCTAAATTCAAACTGATTTCCTTCACTTTTATTTGTGTATGTTGTGTTCTGCCACCCCAATCAGCTGTTTTATGGCTCCACCTCTCTGCGCCACCCCAACCACTCCCAGTCTCTGTCGGACGCTGTTTCTGCTGCTGCTTTGGTGAAAGTAGAACGTTTATTTGTCTGTTTGCTGAAATTTCAAACATATTATCTTTGAAGTCTGTCCGCGTCTCTCTCTCTCTCTCTCGCTCTTTCTGACTGCCTGTTCAATGTGGTTGTAACGCATTTCCCCCCTGCCCCAGCACTGACGCTAATGAACACGAGTTGCAGTTCCATTCGAAGTCGCATGGGAAACGGCTGCTGCCTTCGGCCACAGCCAAAGCCTTCTACTTCTGCCAGTGGGGCACTTTCATCGCGCCATGAGACAGCATTCAGCATCAAGCATCCAGCTACAGCTTCAGCTGCTGCTCGGTGCAGACATTTCGGCGTCTCAAGCAATAATTGCTGACTGCAGATGGTGATGATGATGATGACGTTGATGATGATGATGATGATGATGCGGCTGCCCGCTGGGAGGCAAAGCACAGCTGGTGGACTGGGAATGGGTTGTGGCCGTTAATGGGATTGTTCTGATTGCATATTAAAGCCATTATTTTGGAGTGCAAGTAAGTGATAATATTGCTAAATACTCCCAAGTAGACGCCAATTGAGGATCAAGTTTCGGGATCAATTTTCGTTAGATTTAAAAGCCTTAACGCTGATGGATAGACTTGATGAAGATTCACATCCTTTCAGTGTGGTTTACACAAACTCAGGCCGGAATGAGAAGAGAACTTCCTCAAAATAATAATCATAATTAAGCCACAAGGTCTGCATGGAACTGCGACATTATCTGCCGGAAATGATTGGAACCATTCAATAAAATATTAATTTTTCTTTTCCGAGTATATTTTCAAGCATATTTACTCTTATGAATCGCACTGTATGTGTGGTAGAACTGTGAGCACATGATTAAAGCAACCAACAGCCGTGAACCTTCTACTTCTGCGGATCTGTGCCGAGTTATTATTTTTGCACTTTCACTTGCTCCAACCCAAAAATTTGAGTAGACATCTCCCACCGATTCGAGTGCTCCTATGCCAGCCCAGCCCATGGGTTTGCCATTTAGCACCCACAAAACCACAAACAAAACCCCACACCAAAAGTTCACACACACAAAGAGAATTTGAATGTAAAAGTTTACTCCACTCCGTGCGAATATTTTTGCAAGTATTTCGCAATCGAAATTATTTTTGGGCCGAAAACCAGTTTGGTCAAAAGGAAAGGGACTCGGGAATCGGGAGACCACCCATTCCAATTTCAATTCCCAACTTGCAACTTGCAACTTGCAACTCTTCCCTCTTCTATCCTGGCCACAAGTTGTGGTTGTTGTCAATGGGGAAACTTCTTTGTGGCGGCATGTAATCAGCCAATAAAAAATAAACCAAAAGTTAGTACAACAAAAAATACTACAAAATTAACAAATTCTGTTCTTGTCGTGCCTTGTGGGCGTGACAGGGGGGCTGGCCAAGACATAATAAACACACAACGATAATTAAACTGAGGTTAGCCCCGGCCACCGAGTGGCTTTCAACAGCTCTGTCCAGTTGGGCGTCAGCGAGTGTCACTTGATAAGTAGTGGAATCGAACAGTGGGAGGAAAGAAAAGCTGATCTTGGCGAGTGGCAAAGGGACATGGCAGGAGCGTGACTCCATAAATCAATCAATAGTTATGAAAGTTTTTACTGTTCTCAACAATAAACAATTACATTGCATATTCTTGGCTCTGCGAAGTCTTTTGCGCAACCCTCGGCAAACTGCAACACTCCCAATCAAGCCATGAAGATGCGCCGTCTAATACTCAGCAGCAACATCTGCAGCAACAGCAGAAGCAGCAGCAACATCCACCACAGCAAATGAATCAAAACAAAAACCCAAGCAACAACAATGTTCAGGTCCACTACTGACCTACTAAGCAGTCGAGACGACGCACTCTTCGTCGTCGATGTCGTCTTCGTAGCCAGCCCCAAAGACGTATCATCGTCTCTTGGGTCTCACATTGCCCCTCTCTGCCTTTGCCGCTGCCACCGACTCGGGCTTGGACTCGGACTCGGCTCTTCGTTGGCGTTGCGTGTGGCGCTGTTTCTTGTTGCTTGTATTTATATTTGTTGATTCTCTTTGGATACCCTGCCCACGTACAGAGAGAACAGGGGTAGCTTTCATTAGCGTTAGATGAATGTACATACATACATATGTTTTGGGTGAATGTTTCTCAACATTTTTGATTGGTTGGATTTAATCTTAGACTTTAATCAGCCTTGGGAGTCTTATTACATACATATTTATTTACATACATTTATTTGCAGTCATTGACTATCATCTCGATATGCACAAACTACCAGGTATCTGCCAGTCGTAAGAGCAATTAAATGCTTCAGCTGTTGGTCGCGCGCTCGCTCGTTTTTCAATGTTTGCATTTACTCCGCAACCCGAAGACGCTGACGACACCGACGACGCCGACGCCGCCTGACGCTTCGAATAATAAATAAGAAAAAGTTTTCCTGCAAACGCAAAAAAGACACACAACAACAAAACAGAAAACAAAACCAAACCAGAAGAAAGAAAACAAAAAAGCAAAGAAAAAACCGAACAGAGCCGTAAAAATAAAAAGCGTTTTCGCTGGCGCAGCCGAACCCCGACCGACCGAGCGACCGATCTTGGGGCTCGCCTCGCTCTCTGTCGTGAGCAAAGGGGAGAGAGGTCTGGTCTGGCTTTGGTCTGTGCAGCGGGGTCTGGAGCTTGAGCTGCTGCTGCTGTCTTTGGCGCAGTTGCAAACGTGAGCGCGAAGCGTGTGAACGTGATTTTGATTTTTGGCCTGGGACTTGGCTGATTCCTTCTCCACACGGTTTTCCATCGCTTACACTGGGAAAAGCCAGAGCCCAACACGAAAGCGGGGCACCAGAGGTCGCGGAAAACTGCATCCAAGCTTGAGCTGTAGCTAAAGAGCTCTCTGCGGTGTGTCGTCAAATGAAAATATGGATTTTACCACTAATTGTTATCCCGAACGTGAATGTGAATGTGAATGTGAACCCGAGTGTGCGACACATTTGTCAGCTGCTGCCAATCGGCAGACGGACATGCTATAGGGTGCTCCGTTGCGTGTACTGTTACGTCGCGTAGTGTCAAAACATTGCCAAATCCTTGACAGATTTCTATTTGCCAAAAGCCATTTGCCAATCGCCAAGCGCCTTTCGCCCGTTCGCCCATCGGCGCTCTTGGGATAGTGTCGATCGAGTGAAAGTGAACAATGAAGCGCACCCAAATGGATAGGCGGTTTCGGATCACGCAGCTAATAACGGTAAGTGTGACTGTGTGTTTCGACATCTGCAGCTACACATATCTTTAGCTATATCTGAGCTGTGCGTTACTGAATAGTTAAACAACATAAAGATTACTCAAAAATGAAACAATTGCTTATCGAAGGGTGTTAATCAGGAATAAATGATACGAATTTCATCATTGACATTAAAGTACACAGAAATGAATACCACAAGCTGACAGAAAATTATATTTCCTATAGAAATACAGCGGATAACTGAAATCAATTCAATTTCTTGTATCAAAAGTTATAGTTTATGGAAAACTATGGAAAACTCCTCTAACCCCCTGACTGAATTGCAACACTTTTTTGTATAATTATTTTCCTTCTCCCTTAGTCTACTGCAAATCAACTTTAGCCACTGTTCTCTGTCCAGTGTATTTTTAGTCACATCTAACCATAAAGATGTATCAGCAAAGAACTGGAAAATACCCAATAAACTGAATCACACGATCCCACGGCTTAGCCTCGCTGAAAAGTTTCGTATTAGTGTCAAACAGAAATGACTGATTGATTGATTGCCGCCCCTCAGGTGCCCTGTGCGATTGATGAAAATGAAAACGCAATTAAGAGATGGTCACACACACGTCTGCTTCGAACGTTTCCATTTCACACAACAAAAAATGTGTTGAAATCGATAAGCTGCGAGCATGGGGACTGGCTCTAAGCGTTTTCTGCATATTAACAACTTCTTTGGCTGTATCGATTTTGGTGTGTGTTATTTCAACGCATGACTACGCAATCACAAAACCATAACCAACAGCAAACGATCAACAAGAACAACAACAACAAAAGCAAACCCAAAGAGAGACGAAAATGAAATGAAATATAAAAAAAAAGTTTCACTTTCTTCGAGAGCAAATCCAAGGGGGGCCCCTGTGTCTGTGGCTGTGGGTCTGTGGCTGTGGGCCCCGACTCACCCTGGTTATTGGGGGGGATAGGATTGACTTGTTGGATTTTGGACCGATAGTTGGTAAGACCAAAAAAGAAAAGAGGCGAATGCCAAAAACAGCAACTTGCCAATTTTGGTTAAGTGCGGGGACTGCGGGCTGGGCGGGGCCTTTTCCGGTGGCGGCCACAAGTGAAATTTTCAATCGAGTAATCAGCGATCCATGAATATGCATTTGATCTAGGGATGGGAGTCGAGCTGCAGCAAGAGTGAAGTCAAGTTTGCCGCTTAAGTCTTTTGTTTTGTGAGTGGTGGTGGAAATTTCACCATTCGCCAGCTGGCTGGCAATTAGCAGCAGAGGCAGCAGCAGCAACAGGAGAGGCAAGAGCAACATAAACCACTGAAGCCACCGCAGCACCAAATTTGGTTAAATGTAACATCAACTTTATTTCCAGAGCCAATTGAATTTATAAATAATTCATTCTAGCAGCTGTCGTTGAAGTTGCACTGCGAGAGTGAGAAAGAGATGCGGCGGGAAAGACTGGGAGGCAACATTGTATTTGGGAAATGAAGACATACACTGGAACATCTACTCGTGCCGAGATCTCAGATGTTGCTGCTGCTGCCGTTGCCTTGTCCTGCCCATCTGGTTGGTTTTCGTAGAAAGTCGCTGACACATTAAAGTGTTGCAATACATTTCTCTGGCAATGCGACAGCTCGGCATCAGTGTCTACGATTGACAAATGTCTTCCTCGATGCGAGTTGACTTAATGCCCATTTGCACTGCTGCACTGCACTGGGGAGAGGCGAGCTCTCACGGCTGATTGGACATATTGATTTGTTTCACCGACTCGGACTGCTGACAGCCACAGAACTAGCAGCCGCAGCCGCAGCCGCAGCAGCATCACTTGCTCCAATTTCCTTCTGGCCAGTGCCGCTTCCAAGAAATATGACAATGTTAATGAATAGCCATAGAGCCATGGACCCGTTTCCACTCGACTCCAACTCACCCGCGGCTGCATGAGATTTGTTTTAATTGTCTTGCTGCACATGACAATCGACAATCGACGATCCCACCGATCCCACCGATACCCTGGCCAAACAAAGCGAAAGTAATTCTGCTTTCCATTTCAGGCTTCAGCTTCTTGCGGTCTGGCAACGGCAACTCGCATTTGTCTCTGTCTTTGTCTTTGTCTTTGTCGGTTTGACCTGATTCGCTTTTCAACACAAATTAGTTCAAAAAGAAAGCCAGCGAGACATTTGCTTCGCACTTTGCACTTCACCCAACTTGCGGTCTTCCCAGTCATCCCCCATAATCCCCCATAATGCTGATTGCAATCACTTTCTCATTATAATTGCCCAAAAGTGGAGGAGGTACTGCGAATCATTTGATTGTTGAAGTGGTTCTGTGAAGAAGTTCCATTATACATCAAGTATTTGGCCCACTTTGTGGTGGAGAATGCGATTATTACTTTGGCATTTTGATTCACATTTTGTATGAACTCAGCAAAATTGTTGGGAGTTCTTTGATGTCTTCACTCGGTTTAGAATTAGATGTTTCATTTATTTTACTACATTCTGGGATATATTTGGGCACAAAATTCCCTTAGCATGACCCTTACTGAATACTTCCAAGAAACAAATTGCAAATGTCGAAGCTTCACGATTTTTATTACCAAAAAATATGAAATTAACTCCACAGATGCAACAAATTTAAATTAGAATTTCAATTCATTCAGTACATGCTACAAAATCATCAACAAATAGCACCTAAAGCTCTTTCCCGATCCCAAGTTTATGCGAAACAAATCAACGAATGTTCAGAAAAACAATTACGAAATAAAGTCAATCCAATGTTGACCCAATGTCACAAATCAAATGTTTACATATGCTAATCAGGAGGCTGGAATTTTCCCCCGAAACTCCCAGCCAGATGACATAACAGAAACCACTCGTTGAAGCGTGTTAAGTTTAGGTTGTGGGGCATCAGTGTGGGGCATCGATACACATCCGCTAACCAAAAACCACAAGGGAGACGAAACACTTTCTTTTTGGCAGGGCGAGTGAATCATTTACGATCGATACACACACCAGTGTGTGGGCATATAATATAATATAAAATAATGTAATATAAATATAAATATAAATATAAATATATGCGAGCAAGAGTACGAATGCGAATGCATATCAGTTTTTTCGGCAACGAACCGGTTCGCGGAGCGCCAGAGAGAGAGAAAGAGCAAAAGCAGAGACCGGGCACGTTCCCTATACATACATACATACATATATCTGCCATATATGTAAGGTGCTCTGCGGCCAACGAGGACTGGCAACAGTTTTTCAACAATTGTGCAACCGAAAAGGAAAGTTGAAAGGGCCCCCAGACCAGACTTGCAGGGAGCGGGGGAAATGCTGCGGCTTTTCCAACGTCTTGGAACTGTGCCTGTGCCGCAATTTACTTTTACTTGGGTAACCCATTTCGCTTTTGATTGCTCTTTGCATTTCACTTTGCCGGGTCTGGCCAGCTGTCGGTCGGTGGTCGGCCAGTTGCCAGTTGCCAGTTGCCAGTTGCCAGTTGCCAGTTGCCAGTTGCCAGTTGCCGGTTGCCCGATGGCCGCCACTCACTCACTCGCTCATCCGCTGCAACCAGTCTGTCGCTCTCCTTCTCCCTCTCTTATATATCTATCTCTTTAGATGCAGTCTGTGGCATGCAAATGCACATCGATCATCTTTATGACTTGTGACTGTCCAGAGTTGGCTTTTGCGTGAAAGTAAAATTTGATTTTCTAGCGGTTCCGCGTCTTGGCTGTGACTCTTTGCCTCGTCATGGCAGCGACGGAGACAATTTGTTGTTTGCCCCAAGTGAGAGCCAGGTGCACTCCCAGGCATTCTCCCACTTCCCAGGCCAATAAAAAGAGAGTTTTAGCGTCACGCCATTTGCTTATCAGCAGCATCCATCCATCCACTCGATTCTCATTTCAATTAAGATTTCCTCGTAGATGTTTGCCCTGTGCAAACACACATTTGAAGTCATCATGGGGGAAAGGCGCATTTGGAAGATGAATGCTCGTTTGCACAACATTTATTGAGCAAACGGAATACATAAAGTTTTCGTTTTTTAATTCTACCATTCCAGGACGATGCCATTCTCTGTCTGTTTCTGATCGTTATGGTTGCTCTGCCCATTGTTGCCACAGGATTCGGCTTCGACTCGGCCAACTCTTGCACACCGAACGGCAAGATGTCGCGTCGTGGCAGGGCCCAAATGCTGGCAGCCATTCCCTGCGATCTGGGCAAGCAGGCATTCTGCCATCTGCCTGGCACCGCGTATCCATGGCATGCAGTGAGACGATTTGTGCACGAGAACCAGGGACTGATGAAGCGCATGTACGGGGACGTGCGACACATATCCATACTGCGCGATGAGATCCAGAACAATGAGGTGGATGAGGACGATATGGAGGATACGGCTGAGCGTTACAGCAAGGATGGAGGACGTCGCAGCGCCAAGTATCTGATGCATGGTCGCGATCGAGATCGTGATCGTGATCGGGATGACTTTGTGAGCTACAAAGGGAACGATGTGCTCATGGAGCCGCACTTCCGACCAGTTTCCACGACCACAAAGGGAACGACAACCACAACCACAACCACAACCACAACGGAGACTCCAACCACCGCCAGTACTACGGCTAGAAGCTCCACAACAACCACAACTCCAGCCGCAACCACTACCACTTCTACCTCCGCCTCGAACTCAACCAGTACGAGCACCACAGCTGCTGCTCCACTAGATGACTCCCCCGTGGCTCCAAATCCCGACACGAATAGTGTCTACGAGGTTCCCTCAACCTCAACGAGCAGCAGCAGCACTCCAACGCCAGGCACTGGGGACAACATCCAAATCATCGATTCACCTCAATTGGGTTTGCGGAATCTCAGCAGCGAATCGAAGGCAGCTCCAGCGACACCCACGACTCTCAGGCCATCCACAGGGAACAACAAAAGCTCCGCAGCCACGTCGGCCAGTCGCAGGAGAAAGCCTGCCGAAGCCTCCACCATTTCCGCCACTCTGCGGGCTGTGCCCACGACTACAAGCACAGCGGTTCCAGCGACCACCACAGCCACCGTGCTGATACGTCGTAATGCGACAAAAGCCTCGCCTGCAGTCATCCCATCGGTAACGACGCCCGTCAGCTTTGCCTCACTGTTCTCCGGCTCTTCGACAGGTTTCAGTCCGGAGAAGCTGCGCAGGCCGCTGACCACAAGCACCACAGCAGCTCCCACGGCAGCTCCAGCTTCAGCTTCAGTTCCAGCTCTTATTCCAACTCAGTCAGGAGCCGCAACTAAAGCGGGACTGGTGCGTGAGGGTCAACTCTTTCAGGATGCCATGAAACAGGAGCCAGTGGCTGTGAGCAGCAACATGCGCGGAGTGTAAGTCTAATCACAAGTCTAGGCTGAAATAAAACTAATCTCTAACTTCCTTCCATTCCATTCCATTAGCAATGCCTGTCCGGTTAAGGATGAGGTGGTGGCCCCTTTCTGGGCAAACAATACACGCGGCGAGGTGCTGGCGCTGCTCAATCTGTATCCGTTTGAGCAGTACGTCCACTGGGAGAAGTGCACACAGGAATTCAAGCAAATGTTCTGCCGGGATGGCTGCCGCTGCGAGCAGCAGTACCGCCTCCATCGTCTGCTGGCCTACGATCCGCACAACGAGTGTCGCGGCATCTTCTCCGACTGGTTCCGCTTCCCCTCCAGCTGCATCTGCAAGTGCTACAACATACCAATGGAGTTCCGGGCCACCTCGCGCAGTCCACGCTCCGACAGTCGGAGCTTCGATGCACCGCAGCAGGATCCCGTGGAAGCCGCTGAGGCGGAGGTACAGCGAGCCATCTACGATCATGCCACCGAGGAGTGGTACAGGCCACGCGATGATTTCGACTTTCTCGAGGGATAGTTCTTATGGAAGGGTACCCTGCCTTGTACAGTAGATGAATAGTTATTTTTCATAGATTTCTGGCTAGTCTAAGCGTTGCAAATATTAACCAGTAGCATAGTAATAGCCATAAGATTATCGTTTAAGCGGTGGCATTATGTCAATGTAAATATAGGCAGACATAATGCCCGATTTAGCCAACACTTTGAAGAGCGAATGTACCTTGAAATACTTTTTGAACATATCGCGGCCCCAGCGCCGTGTCCGATGGTATTTAATTTACTTAATTATAAATTATTTCAGCTATAGCTAGGCATAAGTACAGATTGGGAATAAATAAATATATCAAAACAGTGGCCATAACATTAGCTAGAGCATAGGGCGGAGCGGAGAACAATTTTTGGAAAAATATTTATTGCAAAAATGTACGCAATCATTTACATGACATTTATGTATGTAGTTTGTAGTGTATGTAGAATGTATAAAATAGATTTTAATGTATTTAATACGTTGGTATTATTTATATATATATAATATATAAATATAAATATAAATATATGTATATTAATCTTTAAACTTTAAGGCATATAAATTGTATTTATGTGTAGCAAGGATTTCTGAATCTTTTCAAGCATTTCATTTCATTTTCATGTTCATTTTCAATACAGCTTAACCGATTACCACCCTACGGCTAGTGATAGCGATTTTTTTGTATGTTTGTCAATCAATCAATATCAATATCAATGTCAATAAAAACACTTTTAATGTTGCACAACTTTTGCTCTGATTGTCAGTTTGCGGCAAAGGCACATAGGACAAGTAGTTAAAGCTCGAAATAATTTGAGTTGAAAACTATTTAATATACATAATTGAACGAATAGCTTAAAGCCAAAACTCTCTCTGTATTGCCACTAGATAAGTTTGATAGGTGTATAAAATATAAAGTTTTATGTACTTACGAATACATAATAATAAGTTGAACAAGTAGAACAATTACATATTTAGTTTAGAGTTGCCTTACAGACTTTCTTTTCAGTTGTATAAATAAATTGATGTGAAGGGATTCCCCAACAGACAGACAGAACCACAAGTAAAACATACTTGACTACAGCTACAAATATAGTACATAAATTAATTGACGGAGACGAAAAAAAACAAGTAGAAATACCGCGCGTCCTAAAATGCAAAAATAAAACAACATCCTTGCTGCCGTTTTTGCATCATCTACGGACGCCCATAGAATACTCTGCGTTGAACGAAACGAAATACAAAACTTGATAATATTGATACGCATTGCAAAAATACTACGCTCGGACCACTTAGCATTATTTTAAAACTAGTAAACTCTATGTGTGAAATCCGTGCTGGCATTAGGCACTCGAGACGGGCACCCAGAGCAGCTTGTCCTGCTCCTTGTCAACGGCATCCTTGATCTGAGTGCACATGTGCTTGATGCTCACGCCAGGTATGACAGCTGCAAAGCGAAAAAGAAAAGTCACGCAAAGTTGAAGGAAAGGAAACACACGCGAGGTCGAGTCCCACCTGATATGTACTGCTTGTAGTCAGTCTCTAGCTTCATGGCCCGCTCGTACATCTCCTTGGCTGCCTTGGCCGAGATTTTGTCCGTGCCAAAATCACGAATATCGCGAATTTGCTTGGCAGACTTGAAGCGCAGCAGCAGAACAATCGGATATATTTGCAGACGCTGCAGCCGCTCAACGGCCGAGATCGACACATCCAGAATGCAGTGACGTCGATCCTAACAGGAAGAACGTTAGCATGAAGAAACCAAGAGCAAGGCGCACTCCACTCACATTCTTGCAGGCATTGCTGATGGCCTCCACGGTGGTGCACTCGAACTTGTTGCCCCGTCGGCGATAGTCTACGAAAATGTTCTCCTTGAGACCCTCCTCCATGGCCTCCTGCGAGCAGTCCATGGCCGTCACCTCACACAGTTTGAACAGATTGGAAAAGTCAATGGTGAGGCGATCCATCAGGCACTCGGACAACGGTCCAATGATCAGCACGGGCCGACGTGTGGGCGCTACAAGACAATAACAACTATATTAGAGATGCCCCTTGGAGATAAGGAACACAACTCACAGTCCAGAAGCTCCACACGCTGATAGCTAAGGGCTCCGCCATCATCGTTGAGTAGGCCTAGGTCCGGAAAGAAGCTAAGCTGAGTATTGCTGAAGCTGGCAATTTCCGTGGAGTCGCGGGACGAGCTGCGCTGGTTCTTCTTGCGGCGAAAAAACGAACGACGAGCCGAGGTGCTGCCGCGTCGTGCGGTTCCCGTATCACAGTCAACCACCTCGCCCGAGCGCAGCTCCTCTTCCACCCTGCAAGGCAAAATGGTTGGAATATACAATCGGAAATATATAAACATAAAGCTGATACGCACTTCATTTGACTGGGTATGATGCCGCACTCTTTCCGATGCCCCATGGCGTCCAGCTTCCAGGCACGCCACAGGCCAAAGGTGCCATTGAACACCGTGTTGTCCACATACAGCACCTCATCCTTCACAAAGCGCAAATCATCCTCGTTCAGCTCTCCGATCCGATCAAACCCCACGCGTATGTAGAACGAATCTCCCGGCTCGTCTTTTATTTGCTTGAGTGCTAAATAAATTACATATTAATATCTCTCCATTGGCAAACCAAAAGGAATTGTGTGTCGCTTACTGTGTAGCTTGTTCTGCACCAGCATCGTGACGGTATCCGTTAGCTTGGATATCTCGTTGGCTGCCTGCTCGGCCGTCACTCCGCTCAGATCGACGCCATTGTACTCCAGTATCTGATCGCCCTTGCGTATGCCGGCATGATCCGAGGGCGAACCAGTTGCCACATCGTGCACATAAATGCCAACCTTGTTGCCGCCAAACAGCTTGATGCCAAGATTCTTCGATTTGTCCATGTGCAGCGTCACGTAACGCAGAGCTGAACGAAGAAGTGAACAAAATATAATCAAATTTTCGTACAATAAGGAAAGGGTGTGTGAAAATGAGGAGCTTCAGCTCACAAGAGGATATTGCACGCCATAATTACGCGTAGCTAAAATGTTTGGGATTGTAAACTGACAGTGAAATGTTTGCCTTCGAGAGATCGTTAAAGATTCAGTTTGCGAGACGATTTTGGGAGTTTTTCAATAATTTTAGTCAGACTTTTAGCATGTTTCGGAGTTTGTCCGCACACTTTAAAGCGATTATTATTTCTGTTTAATTTCCATGTCCGTTTACAGTTAATCAGAGTATTTAGTCAGTGTATTGGCTGCAGAATGGCTGCTAATTTCCTAATCTTATTTTTGGGCCCGTTACTCTTGTCTGTGTACTGTGATCGCTTCCCATAGACTTTTGGCTATAAGTTGTCTTTACTTCAAAGACTTTAACCCAACATAATCGACGGCTACGAATGCTGATCTGAGATGACTCTACTGCGTCCCTTGCATAGGCTTGGGGAGTGCAGAAGCAGCTGGATTAGTGGAACAGGACTGACTGTACGTACTCTCTGCTGGAACGGAAACCGGTGGTGGCGGCAGTGCCGGCTTGGGGTCCTCATCGTACACAGTTGAGGTGGCCGATGCGGTGGTTGTGGTGGTGGTGGCCGCCGACGAGGGCATGTCCTGGCTGCTGCTAATGTCCGACTGGTTTTCCAGGCTGTCCGTGAAGCTCTGGTCCTTGATGGACTGATGGGAGAGCGGTGCGCGCGAGCCAACGGATGACGTCGCCGCTGAGGGGAGCAGGGTGAGCGGCTGCAGGGGTAACGGAGCCAGCACATTGCGGGCCGGTGGACGCGGCGAGTTGCGCGGCGTCGGCGAACCCGAGTGATTGAGGGGAGATTCTGGTTCCAGATTGTGCGTGCCCATCTCGTACTCCATCGAAGGGAACTCTGCAAAAGAGGAGATTAGAGAGGCTGCCGCAATGGTCAACGGATATAGACTTACTCTCCGGATTGTACTGGACGAGCATGGTGAAGGAGTCACCGCATTGGCGCAGCACATTGGCCGCAATCTCCTGCGTGGCCGCACGCATATTGATGCCGCACACTTCTAAGAGTTGATCGCCCACCTGGAGACCGGCACGCATCGCGGTACTCTTGTCAGCCACGGTGGACACAAAGATGCCGCCACCGTTGTTATTGCACTGAATGGTGATACCGAGCGACTTGTCGCGCTTGTCGATGGTGACTCTTCTAAGGTCTCCAGGGCAGAGAAAATCCGCGGGCACATTGGAGCTGCGCTTGCTGCCGCTGCCAGCCCCATGGCTGAGCACCTCCACGTGCACCTGGGGCATGGGCGAGCCACGGCCACTGCCGCCGCCGCCACCTCCGCCATTTGCCGCACCCCCAAAGCTGGCATGGATGGCCGTGCTCATGAGGGAGATGGGCGCGCGGTCCGAGGAGGAGGCCGACGATGCCGGCGCCATGCTTGTCACATAATGATGATCGATGGAGCCAGAGCTGTTCTTCACCATGCTGCTGCTCTTGCTGGCCACACTCGGATTGGACGGTATGCGCAGTCTCTGGTTGTCCTTCTTCCGCGGAAAGGTTCCACCCTCGTAGATGACTCCACCAGCACTGCCTCCTCCCATATACGGATATGGTGCATGACTGGGATGGCCATAGTCCAGATACGGCGGCAGCGGATGTGGCAGTGGATGGGGATTCATGTGCTGCTGCTGCTGCTGCTGCTGATGGTGATGCTGCTGCGAGTGTGGATGTGGATGCGGATAGTCCAGGTCTGTGGGTATGCCAATGGCACTGTTGCTGTCATGCTGGGCCACCGTGGCCAGTGGCTGTGGCGGCGGCGATGGCAGCGTCAGTGGACTGGAGTGTCGCGTATTGCGCAGCCCCTGGACACTCGGCGCGAATGTGGGAAAGAGTTGCGTGTGCCGATTGCCCGAAATGTGGCTGGCCTGCTGCGAGTAAATGCCGGTGCCAATTCCGAGAATGCCGGAGCCAATGCTCTCGCTGTCGCTGGGATACTTGGGCACATGCTTGACCGCCTGCTGCATGGGCACATGCCGTTTGGGGTACACGCTGTACTCGCTTATGGGCGGACTCTTGGTGGACAGCATCGACTCGATGGAGTTCTGTGACTTCAGCGATATCACATCCGCCGGCTGGCTGCCAGCCGGATGCAGTGGCATGCCACGCGTTGGATTTAGTGGCATGAAAACGGCATTCGAGTTGGAGTTGGAGCTGGCGCTGGTCTTGGGCAGCGGCGGCGGATGAAACACATCAAAGATTTGCTGTTTTCGCACAGGAAACTCCCCAGCCGCCGGTCCAGGCCCTGTGCCAGAGCCCATACCCATGCCCATACCCATGCCCATTCCCATGGCCATTCCTCCGCCGCCACCAGCGGCGTTCATCACCTGCTGCTGCGCCTGCTGGCCGCTCGTCTTGGGCTG